TGCAGTGAGTAACGAAAGTATTCGAACGACATGATAGACAATAATTGATTCTACAAATTGTTTTTATACCATTGTACATACATTTCCTAAATATATGTAAACTTAGAGAAAAATTAAACAATAAGTAAACTAATTGCATAGCATTTATAATAGATAAGTACATATAAAACATAACAAAAGTATTCGAATACAGTTTTTATAGTCATGATAGAACGCAATAGATATGATTATATTGCAGTTTAATATCTATTTGGGCTACCCTTGGCTTTAATAATCTCTCAAAGGCGATTTTCCATACTATTAACTAAATTTTTGGTAACACTTGAATCTATAGAGTGCCAGGCTGCCAGGATATTTTGTTTTAAAGAATTTTTACATGTTATATTAGTCCTTTTAAGTCTCCTATCGAGCTCTTCCCATAGATTCTCGATGGGATTTAAGTCCGGGCTTTGTGGTGGGCTCGGTAATGTATGGGAAACATTGTATAAGATCCATTCCCATACTATTTTGGCCGTATGTTTGGGGTCTTGGTCTTGCTGCAAGCAGAAATTTCTTAATACGCTTAACTTTTCGGCACTATTAATTAAATTTTCTTTTAAAATATTAAAATATTTAATTTTGTCCATGATTCCATCGATGAATACGAGATTGTCAGGTCCATTAGCAGACATGCAGCCCCATACCATTACGGAGTCTCCACCATGTTTCAGTATACTTCAAATTTTTTGAATCCAACTCCTTATTTGGCTTTCTTCACACTATTCTCCTACCATCGGACTCAAATAAATTGAATTTACAGTGTTCCAAAAATTTATGTTCTTATTTATATACTCTTTGGCAAATTTTAATACAAGTAATTTATTCTTCTTGCTAATGTATGGTTTCTCTCGTGGGATTCTATCATGGAAATTATTTTTCCATAGCATTCTTTGACATAATTGTGCATGTACTTGTTTATTAAAGTTTGTAGCAACCATTGTTGCTAATTTTGGGGCAGATGTAAACGGATCTTTTTTTATTTCACGCAGAAGCAGTATTTCTTCCCGTGGTGTTAATTTCTTTGGATGTCCTGATCTCTGTTCATTTGCTATACTTCCGTTCGTATTATACTTTTTTATTATATAATGAATTGTTGATTTGTGCAATTTAACAATAATTTCTCGTTCGGGTGTATTTGTCTCTGATATTGTACCACTCATTATTCTGAATTACAGATTAACGGTTAACTTTCGGTTTCATTTGCTCTCAAATACTGTTCAAAGCACACTGAAAAACATTTGTTTACATTTAGACGTCGCAGCAGTCTTGTATTTACAAATTATAGTGCTTATAATTTAGCGTTCAAATACTTTCGTTACCTGTTAAATGTACTTGTCCGTGAAAAATGTTACGTAATTCGTTCCTTCATTGTTTAATTTTTCTCTAAGTTTGCATATATTTAGGAAATGTATGTACAATAGTATAAAAACAATTTGTTTGAATAAATTGCAATTTATTATACAACTTTTGTAGAATCAATTATTGTCTATCATGTCGTTCGAATACTTTCGTTACTCACCATAAATTACAAGTTAATTTAGTATTTAAACTGCTGATGTCATTCAAAATAATAAGGAAAAGTTGCCTAAATCGTACGTCTCCTATATTTTCATTATTAATAAATAAGGTAACTGTCCGAGTAATCAAACATGCTCTAGTAATCGAATATTTAGCATAGTTTTTCTTTTAAACAGGTTAATAGGGGAAACAGGTTACATTTGACGATATCTGTGAGTTTTTTAGAATAATATAATATTATTAATACATTATCTCTCAAAATAATTACAGTACATTATTTTAAGTGGAAAATTGTATTTAATGTAGTCAGTATGCACAAATATGCATACTAATAGCATAAGAAAAAATAATGAAAAATTATTTCTTTACTTACAAGGAGATGCCCCGAGGCCTGACGCTCACTTTTTGATGAGGTTTCGCTTAAAAAACTACAGAATCGAATGGTACCCGGTTTTGGATGTAGTCGACTTATAAATTTTGAGATATTTAACATTAAAGTTACTACAGGTATTTATCTATAGATATAGAATTATGTACTTTTACCAGTAGCCAGTGTGGCGTGATTGATAAGGTATCTGCCTGCAAGTGCAAACTTCTTTTGCCGCAGATTCGAATTCTGTTGGAAAAAATTATTTGTTTACTTCTTTAATTTTACTTCAAATATGATATTATATTTTTTACTAATCTACGTATATATTTGTTTTCTAAAAGTTCAATTCAACTGTTACTTTCGATATAAGAAGTAAAAACATGCAAAACATAAAAGTTTCAGGCACTACGTGCACGATAACGTAAATATGTGTGTAGGTACATGGTCTTTTTGTGATTATACTCAATTTATACCAAATTTCAATATACTTATTTTTATTACAGATATGCTTGGTATACCTCGTGACTGTTCGAAAATCGCTTAGATTTTATCAATGGAAATGGAATACCAGAGTTAAACACAAAACTTTGTAATTTCTGTGAAAATAGAACTTTCATTAGATGTCCATCCAGATTCATGATACTTCGTACATCGAAGATAACAGTTAAATTCAACGTTTAGAAAAAAAATATATTCGTAGGTTAGTCAAAAATAGAATATCACATTTAGCGTACGATTAAAGATTGATTAAAATAAGTAAAAAAGAAATTTGTTCTAATAGTAGATATAATAGTTCATTTTTTATTTAGTTCTAAATAGTAGGATATTAGTTTTGTTTATGTTGATTAATTAAATGTAGAAAATTGATGTTGCAAAACTGGATGCAAAAAGATTAATGATAAAAACGAATTCTCAGCTTTTATGACCTACTCATTGTCAGTGTCAACGCAAAAGAAGAAAACGCCAAAACACTACCACTTATACGACCGAGCGACGCTAAATAAATGTAATTTAAATTCCACCAACAGACAGTATATAAAACCGGGACAAACAAAGGAATTTCTATTATTTAGATATATATTTAAATCTTATTTTAAATTATAACTATATTTGAATACTAGTTAATATGTATTCTTATTACTTTACGAAGGATTATAAAGTTTGTTTAAAACTTTTCCTAAAATAAAATTTGATATAAATAATAAGTATACAGGGTGTCCCGTAAATAGTGTAAGAACCGGAAATGGGGGGTAGGTGAGACGATTCTGACCAACAATTTCCTTTGCAAAAATGTCGGATGGAGCTTCGTTTTTGAATTATTAACGAAAAACACTGACCAATCACGGTGCTCGCCTTCCGCGCGCTCAGGGCCGTCCGACCTCGGAGAGCCACCGCGCTGGGTAGGTAGCAAGATGCGCGTTGAAGATACATCGAGGAACGAATACAAATAATTAAAAATACTACCACTACAACTGTTACCTAATTCGTTAATTACTACGTAATTAGTACGTAAATTACTAAATGGAATTTATTAATTATTTGTATTCGCTGTTTCCGAGAAAGAAGGAATAAAATCTCGGAATTTTTAGGAAATTAACCCTTCGCAACCGAGTGACGCTTCTCGCCAGAGTGTTTTAAAATTAAAATAAAAATTATTATCAGAAAATTAAAATAAATACGGTAAGAACCACATTTGTAACCGTTTGTTATTAAAAACTGTACTGAAAAAGCAGACTGGATTTCTGCGTACCGAAACATTCCTCGAATGCAAAGGGTTAATAGAGAAATAATTGAAATTCGACTTACCCATTCCCTGCAAGTTGACCTACTGCGCTGACAATAGGGCCCGGCCAATGCACCGCTGGCGGTCACGGCAAGGTCAAAAACCCCAACGAAAATCAGCTGATGGGACGGCCCGATCGCTGTACCTGCTTCTCACCCCGAAAAAACTTCACAGCACGGTCACTAACACTTTTCACTTTCACATACCTATGCGTTTCGTTGCACCCATCTTCGATTGTTGCTCCTTCCTGGGTTGATAACGGTGCCTGGATGTTGCTCCCTCCTGAATTGTTACTCCTTCCTGAATGGTTGTTGCTCCCTGAATTGTTGCTCCTTCCTGGATTGTTGCTTCTTCGAACCTTGCTCCCTTCAGGATTGTTGTTCCTTTTCGCTGGGATAATGGGCGCGATACGTGCGGGCGGCTTTCTTCGCGTTCCCCTTGGAGTCCGCGAAAACGAAGAACGAACGATAATACTCTGCGTTTACGAGTTCCATCGCGTGCGTCCGCTTCTGTTCAGAAACGCGTAGGTTCTGTGAAAAATTTTGACTGACAAATTGCATTTCCCTCCCCGTAAAAGTTCCAGGTAGGGCAACCTATTGTCGCGCGATTCGGGGTTACCTGCGATCGGCGAACGTGCAGACCATGTTTGCCGCAAATGTTTGCTGCTAAACCTACTACGGTCGACTCTTCTAATAGAATTTTTAAGATTCACCGTGAATATTTTTCCATGGTTGTAGGCGCCGCTCGACCACCCATATTTCCCACATGTTTTCACTTACCCTGGTGTCCTCTTAACCGACTTTCCTTTTCCAAAACAGCCCTATGCATACCTCCACTCCTTTTCCTAGGTCCCAGCCTACATTTTTCCCAACTAGCCAATCCTGATAAACCACTCCCAATTTTCTATTCCGACTCCGGCGTCTCCACCCACCAAAATTAGGTATATAAGGTAGCCCGCGAGCTACGACCAGCACTCTAAAAAATCCGAAAGAGATTACTTCTAAAATCCGAAGATCAGTAAGATCCAAACAACCATTGTCAAAGTTCCCCGCCGTGGATTTCAATCGCACTTCACGCAATAAATAATTTAAAAAACCAACCAGCTTATACTTCTTCGTCGTGAGCCAACCAGTGGCGGATTTAAGGAAAAAGGCCCAGGTGGCAAACGTCCTGAGGGGTCCATTTTTCGGGAAAAATGAAGAAATAGTTGACTAAAAACGGGCTAAGTGTAGTAGTACAGATGTAATTATATTACTATGTAGTTTTATACATGTTTATACATGATATTTATTATGTAGTTTTAAATCCTCGCCTTGCTTTCTGTTCAGCAAATATTTCGATTGTCGAATACAAATCAATTTTATTCGCAACTGCTTTTTCGATATAAAGAATACTGAAGTCATTAAGGGTTTCCTCAGCTAGAGTGGCACGGCGATATTCTTTGATTCTTTTCAAAGAGCTCATGCCCCTTTCGGCGCTCGCTGTGGTAACTGGTAATGTTAGGTACAATCTGAACAGACTACAACACTCCGGAAAGCTGTCCATCAAATTATGTTTCACAATAAATCCCAAATACTGCAAAGGACTGTCATTTGAAGAATCATGCTGTTGCGCGAAATACAAATCAGCGAAACTGGACAATTCATGTTTGAGATCAGTTGTAAAGAAATCAGTATATTTCTCTAACAAAATACTTGTGCTGGTCTCAAAATCACTTGGTTTCATGCTGTGCAGTATTTCGGGCATTAAAAAACCAAAAACGTTATTAATCTCTTTGAAACCGTTTGCACGATCCTGTAATTCGCAACACGTTGTATCGAGAACTTCGTAATAACTGGCTCGATGCTTGTCAGGCGTCTCTAAAACACAGTCAAAGCTATTTTCACCAGGCATTTTCTTAATTTTCCGTTTTCTTGCAACTGGAAAATCAGCACGTTCCAAGTTCATTTTTCCCCACTGACTTCTCGCTTTTGTGATGAAATTATTGTAGGCGCTTTCATCCCTTAAATCTCTCATTTTCTTCAATGCTGCTGAAGTGCAATGCTGCGCCGTTATCAAGTTTAATTCTTTCTTCTGCAGTTGAATTTGCGCAACACTGATTATTTCAAGCACAGAATGCCACCATAACAAATTCAGAAAAAATAACCAATTTAATGAAGAAAGCAATGATTGAGCAGTCATTATGTCATCTCCAGTAGCTGCGTCCCTTGAAATTTCCTTCTCCAGACAATCCACGATGCACTCGAAATTTTGGATGAATGCTTCCATAGCTTTTATACGTGCAGCCCAACGGGTTGTACTTAAACCTTTAATGTGGAGTACTCGTTCGCGTGATTTGTGAGCTTCATCGTATGATAATCCGTCTTCTGTGTCTGCATCGGATTCGAAGATCTCTTTTTTAAGGTCTTTTAAAAGCTGAATGCCAAAACTGTTGGAGTTCCGTGATGGATTTTTGCTTGCTTCTAAAAGTTCATCCCATCGTCTGTGAGAATGCGCAAAGTAATTGTAAATTCTTTGGATTATCGCAAAAAACACTTTAATCGAAGAACTCGCATTTTCTTCCGCAGCATGCACCAAAACCAAATTTACTTGATGATTGATACAGTGAATATACGGAACAAATGTCTCATCGCCGACATATTCCTTCATTTTCGCTTGCAAACCACCTTCACGTCCTGACATTACCGCTGCACCGTCATAGGCCTGACCAGACAAATACTTCTTCTGGAAACCATATTTATCAAACAATATGGCGGTTATAATATTGCAAATAGATGTAGCATCCCCTTTTGTCAGTTGAACGAAGCACAAAAAACTCTCTTTGATACATATTGCAGACGCAGTTAAACCTTCATTCTGAATAACAATGTATTGTAACAAAATAGCCATTTGGTCCAAGTGAGCAATATCCGTCGTTGAGTCAGCGATTAACGTGAAAAATTTGGCACCTTTACATTCATCAACAATAAACTTTCTGGTCTGATCAGCTAATGTACTGAGTAACTCATATGTTATTGTTTTACTTAAATATTTGATTCGTTCTGGCGATTCAAGATGCGCATGTAGAATAGGATTATGGCGAGAAATCAATTTAATGATACTCAAATAAATACCGGGATGCTCAACCTTTTGTAAATTTTCACGGTGACCACGAAAACCAACGCCCAAACCAGATAAAGTTTTCACAGTGTCAAAAAGTATATTCAAAATTGCGCGCCATTTCTTAGCTTCTTCGCTTATTTGTTGTTCGAGTTTATAACGAATATCATTTTTCTGGAGAAATGTTGCAGCAGCGACTGCATTGCTGAGATGGGCTTTACTTAAACTATGTTGTGTGACCGATTGATGACAATGTTTCCAGTCTGTGAAACCAACGTACCAAATGCTTTTTTTCGCAGTTTCATCGCCAAATAACCAACAGTAGTAACAATAAGCATAATTTTTTGTTGGTGAATAAGATAACCAGGAACTGTAGTTATCTTCCATGAAATGCTTTTTTTTGTTCTTATAATAAAATGAAGAGTTGAATCGACGTTTGTCACTCGATTGTTTGAATTCCCCGCCAGGCATATCACATTCTCTAGGCTGGCAAGGGCCTGTCAACAAAAGAGCTCTGATTTGATACACATTCAAAGAAATCCCACTAGCATTATCATAAAGACCTTTATCATTCTCAAATTCAAAAATTTTTGGTGTTGATCCAGTAGGAAGCACAGATGTTGTTGCTGGTCGATATACCTTTTCGTTTAATATATTCATAGACGTAGAATTTACGGGGTCACTTTCATTAAACTTTTCTGCAACGTAGCCTGTTCCACTGGACGTTGCAATGACAGGTTCATTATGAATCGTAGATTCGCCTTGTCTGATCACAGGTTGATTGGTTGCTTCATTTACAGTCGCATCTTCACATTCGGCACTATCTTCATTTTGGTTTTTAGTAGAGATAACAGAACTACTTTGAAAGAATTTTCGGACTTTTGCTTGTCTTGGATCATTCGCTGCCTCTTCCATCTTCCATTTCTCTTTCTCTTTCCTCTTCATAAATCCACTCTTCGGTTTCTTATCCTTATCCATTATTTGTGAGGCCTTATTTCCACTTGCGATTAGTCGCGAAACTACAATATCCTCTGGCGTATATGGCACGCGACTGACGGTTCCGCGACTGCCGGTTCCGCGCGGTTCAAACAAAAGAGTTAGTCGCAACATTGTTAGTCGCAAGTGGAAATAAGGGCTGAGAGCAGAGATGGGCAAAATTTTCATTTAAATAAATTTCGTATAACGAATGAAAGTTAAAAAAATTATTCGTCATGTGTCGAATAAAATTGACTCGGGTTCGTCGCATAAAGTTAATTTTTTTATTCGTCGTACGTTTTAATTTTGGCGTCGAATAGATTTTTCAACTTCAACTTTAACTTCAACTTCAACTTTAACTTTAACCTTATTCGACGCCGAATAATTTTCTGGCGCGTGTTCAAGCCGCAAAGGACCGGGGATTGAGGCCTGGCGCGCGCATTACAATGTAGTATCGCCCAATGACGGTCCTCGGCAGGTCAAACACGCGCTAGAAAATTATTCGGCGACGAAAAAAGTTAAAGTTGAAAAATGTATTCCACGCTGAAGTTGAAACGCTCGACGAATAAAAAATTAACTTTATTCGTCAAATAATCTACAGTTAAAGTAATTTGTATTTGATACGTTTTTTAAATAATTGTTTATTTAGTCAATGCCCAACTCTGACTCGTGGTGACTTTGCGTGGTGACGGGAGAGGAGGGCCGGGGCACTACACCTGAAGTCCTGAGCGGCACGCGTCGAGGCAGCCGTTTCCGGATGAAAATTGGAAACCCCGAACGCTTCCAGAAGGATCGGGGGTCAACTGGGCAGCCGGTAAACGAATGGGCATGATAGAGCGAGAGTTTTGGAGCGAAAGAATTCAGAACGTGCAAGCGAGACTGAGTGTGACATGGAAAGCGCGAATATATAATAAACAGAACTGAGCTGTATTATACAATTATAATAAATATATTATTATCCTGACACAAACAAGTTGGAATTACAAAACTATTCCTATAGTATGCTGTATACATAACAGAATTACAAATAAATTTACGCATGTACGGTATGAAAATTATGACAAACAAAAAAAAAAATTTTTTTTTCCAAGATGGGGCCCTGGGAGGCCGCCTCGGCGGGGGCCCAGGTGGCACCTGCTCATTTGCCACCCTGTTAAATCCGCCACTGGAGCCAACCATACCAGTGTTGTCGCGACGTACACGACAATATATGTACATTGTTTAATGATCTGATTCCCGACCACGCTTTGGGATGATTGACTGGAAACATAACCTGCGAATTGTACGTGGTAATGGTTTTCCTCGCAGGGAATGATACTATGTTACGTCATAGCTTCGAGCCTAACAAAGATAAAGATTCTGTGTAATCCCCCTTTCTGAAATTCGAACGATTTCTGAATCGCGATGTCACGCTACGACGATTGATCAACGTTCAACTTTGTATCTTGTCCAAAAGCTGGGACATGGGGACCTAACATGACATCATGTTTACGAGAACGGACACCAAGCGAACACGTGCTGTCTTCAATACTCTTCATCCGTTACAGTCAAATCACGGTCTCGTAAACGAAAAACCTGAGCAGTGTGACCAGACTTGGCTGAATTAAGTGCATTGAGGGCAGTATGGTTAGATTTGACATAATTGAGTGCATCAACGTCGACACTACAAACGACGAACTTCCTTAGCGTCTAACGGTGAGGTGGGGATAGCAGACATATGCTACCGCACGAGCCACGTATATGTGAGCTTGGCACTTCGCGCAACTTCGGGAAATCGAGAAAGAAGGCGAGTGTGAGCATTTCCTTCTTGCTCTTGACATCACGATATCGGCATACGATTCCAAGTTTCGATTGCTTCAGCATTTTTGCTTTCCGCCCTACGTAGGTATAAGGAAAGTATCATAACGAAAAAAAATTTCGAAATTTTTTTTGAACGTAAATACACGTTTAAGACCCTTTGATCATATTGTGACTATTAAAAAAAAAGAAATCTTTTTGTGCCTATGTACGTATACTATTAACATGATTGTGTCTAAACGGCTGAATGAATTTCAATGAAACTTTACATTTATGTTTTATGTTCTCGTTTCAATGTCTGATTAGATTTTGAACGTAATCAGCTCACGAATAGTGATGATTATACGTCTTGTAGCTTTTGTAAAAAAAAAATGGGTTCCGAGGAAACCGTTCTAATTCGCTTCAACAAAAAAGGGATACCGCCAGGTACTTCTATTGTACCCTCAATACAGAAAATTATAAAATAAAATTTAGTTCAACGGTTAGATCCTTAAGGATTCGTTTTGATTATCTGTCAAAGTTTGGAGATCACATAAAAAATATCAGGAACAAGTCTCTTAATAGACTTAATATTTTATTGGAAGCTGAACCACTGACTATACTAATATTACATAAAAATTTAATTAGATCAATCATTGAATAAATCTGTTTTATTTATTTTGTAAAATGTGAAAGTTGTTTACTAGAAATCGAGAAAATTCGTAGAAAAACAATATCCCTAACAATGTTTTTTTGAGGGAATTGAAATGTTGGCGTTTACAACACAAAGCCAATGTTTTATGTAACAAATTTTTTACCAAACATTTGATGAATAATAAAATACTATTACATAATCTATTATATAGACTTTCAGTTTCTCAATTCTGGAACTATTTGGAAGCCTGCTGACGCACTATAAGCCACTCAGGCTATATTCAAGCACTTCATTATGTGAAAACCAATATAAGAATACAGAATAACTTTATTCCCTATCTAGTCCATTTTAATTTATTTTTTCTCAAGTGAAATAATTTTGATCCTGATCTTTTCCTAAAAAATTCTTCCGATCCTGACGCTACTTTTCTGGAACATTTTCATACTAGACTTCCTAACTTCATTTCCTTCTTTACCGATGGAAACAGGAAAGTTAGCAATGACGGTGTTGGCTCAGCTTTTTTTTCTTCAGATCTAAACTTTTCGTCTTTATTTGGATTAAATAATCAAATATCCACTTTTTCTGCAGAATGTGTTACAATTAAAAAAGCTATTGTTTTGTTAACACAAGATGTTCTGTTAAATTTTATTAATTTTGTTTCCTTTAAACTCTAGATCTGCCACTGGTCAAGATGAAAGAGAGCTCTGATCAGAGAATAATAACCCTCCTATAATGATCAATGCCTGTAAGTCAAGTCTATCAATGAACCACATTGAATTCCAGAAATACATTCCAGAAAGAAGAAAATTCAATATCAGTCAGCCTCATAGATTTATTTTTACCGATAATATATCAAGAAAATATAATATAATCTTGTAACTTCACAATATATAAACAATATCAAATGATTATAAATATTTGTATAGTTGCAAATAACTTTCATAGTTAATCATCAAGGATATACTATGTAATGATTCAATATGGCATGTAGAATCACTATTAACGGAACGAAAGAAAATATCTATCGATGAAGTAATAATCTTATGAGATCTTTTATATAGTGCAACAAACCAAAGAGAAGTAAATTTATAAATCTTTTAGTATATTGTTAACAAATCTATTACTTTTAGTTCCAAATTGCTAGTTACCCGTTTTGATTAGTTCCTAGTGTATCTCCTTTCTTGATTGCTAATAATTGTGTTTTACGTAGTTAATGATATCAGTCTGCAAATGATTTAACAGTATTATGCGAAGATAAATATCTTTCCTCTATTAAGTGACAATTACAGAATACTCTGAATAAATTACCTACAAATGTTATGAGATCTACAATTGATTTTAAATTCTGAACCTCAAATTCACAGACAGTACCTTTAAGAAAGGGTAGTTCTTAACTATCTACTTCATATTCTTAACTACTTTATAATCCTTTTATATTATGTACTTTGATTGATTGTACAATGCAAGGAAGAAGAAAAATGTGTTATACAGGGTGTTCAGCCACCTCTGGGAAAAATTTGAAGGAGAGATTTTAGAGGCCAAAATAAGACGTAAATCAAGAATACCAATTTCTTGATTGAGGCTTCGTTAAAAAGTTATTAACGTTTAAAGTTCCCCCTGTAGAACGGCAATTTACGGGCAGTTGCGTGCGCGCGATAGGTTAAGGCAGGTCGGTCCTACTGGTTCTCACTCAAAAAACTGTAAAGCTGTCGATACGTCAGTAAGTAGAATCTCTCATGTTGAGTGAGAACCACTATCACATACACGTAGCTGTTTGCAGGTTGCCGTTCTACAGGCGCAACTTTAAACGTTAATAACTTTTTAACGAAGCCTCAAGCAACAAATTGGTATTCTTCATTTTCGTCTTATTTTGGCCTCTAGAATCTTCTATTAAAATTTTTCCCGGAGGTGGCCAAAACACTCTGTATACAGACTATCTATGCTAAAGCAGATCACGTAAATGTCTACTCTGTTTTGACTGACACGAAAATTTAATTGTTTCGAAGAAGAAATATCATGCAAGAACACTTTTTTGAATACCGTCATTTTTTTCACTTGTCTTCAAGGTCATCGGCTTTTTTTGATTAAGAAAGCGTCTATTTTTTTCTATTGCATCTTGAAACAGAAAAGAAAATACACTTGATTATGTCTAAAGTGTCACCTTCAAATGACCTTGAATAGCAAAATATCTTATTAACGAAATATTAAATGGTGGGAGAAACGCAGCATTTTTATCGAATGATCTAGATCAAGGATGCACAACATCAAGTAGGTTCAATATTCATGTAGTATAATCGCGATATCTTCGATCCTCACGACAGACGCTCGTCACGTTACGCTTCGTCTCGTTTTATATGTGTCGATGGAAACAAAATACGATACACATACTTCCACTACCATCCGTCGAGAACTGCATTACTTTAGGCGAAAGCGAGGAGAGCTTCGAAAGCTACGAATGAAGGAAATGGAATAAACATGATAGCCAAGCGTGGCTATGGGGCCACCAATTGTGCAATTCTGATCTAGGCGAATTAAGGGAAAATGTACGATTAAGTATTTGTGAGACTGTATG